CATGAATGGCGTCTCCCAAAAAACACAGGATGGACGAAAGCGCCCCAATAACACAGTTTCCGTGTAATCCAAACTCCCACCAGTTTCAATTAAACACGTGGAGCAGCAGTTTAGCTCGCCTCCACTGGGTATTTTTCGAGTTCCAGCTTCTTTTACCTCCTCTGCAGGTAATTTATCCTCAGTTCACACCCAGTGAACACCAACAACCCCGGGTGCTGCCTGGCTTCCCAAATCACGTTGTAGTTACTCGGCTGTTAGGGAGTAACTGTTTATCTCCCTGCGTACCCGTCATCGGTCAGGGCTGGTAACAGAAAGCAGGAAGATAACCAAAATACCTATTAATTTTCTGTTAGGCTTTTTGTTGTTTGTAATTTACATTCTCTAAGTAGATTTTCCTCTCAGAAATGCGCGTTGGCATGTTTTCCCTAATCCTAAATTATTATGCAGATTCCTCATATATTATCTCTGTATACTAATCCCTGTAGCATGTCATTAATGCACAGTACACTCAGTTAATTTAGACATGGATATTGGAGAAACATAATTAAAACACGACTACAGTATCGTAGCTATGCTATTACTTTTTTTTTTTCCTTTTTTCTTCAGACACTGAAAGGCCAAAGTCATTGTAGGGGGTTTTGGTTTGTAAAGCCAAGCTGCGGTTTCATGCCCTGGGTGAAGCAGCCCCTCTTTTCCTTGTGCCCCTCTCGCTCTTCCCTTCCCAGGCTACTGTCCCGGTGGTGCCACCACATCTTCGTGAGGCTGTTGTGCAGGAAAGGGATCCAAGCTCAAAACAACCGTCTTTGGTCAGGTTATTTTAGTCCAGATCGAGTCCTTGACTGGGTTCACTGCGCAACCCCACAGGCAATTAACGCCAGCTTTTTTTTAAAGATGGGGGACTGGAAGCAAACAACGTGACTTTGGGCTGCTGCCAAAAGAAACACGAATCAAGCTGCACCGAATATTTGTTTTGAAACAATTTTGAAATAAAGTTTCAGAACACTTGTAGATGAAACGTGTTTAGTTGTTGGGGTAAAAGGCTATAGCCAAAGCTAAATCTGCCTTCTGATTATACCGAATAAACAGATACAAAATTAGACTTCACTCTGTGAAGTCCAAATAAGTAATTTCACAGTGAATATTTACATACTAAGTATTTAACAAGAAAAAATATTAAATAATTTTTTAAAATACTAGTTATTTAACAAGAAAAAATATTAAATACATATTTTTAAATCCTTCGTGCCTGTCATTCTGCTCACCAAAGCTAGAGCCCATAATCACTATCTAGGAGCAAAGGGGTTTCCTGGGCCATGGTGGACCACTAACTCTAGCATCTCCTCGCATCGCTGTAAAAGTTCACCAAAAATAGCTTTTGGCTAAAATGCCTCTTCTCACTTTTTCACATTAGGTTTGTTTTTGATAATGATGCTGGAGCTGGAAGACTTGAGGAACTATACCCTGTAAAAGTCTACCACGTAAGAAAGTGCCTTTTGTTCAAACTGTACATAATGTTTTTCATCTGGCGACTGTTTTCCTTTAAAATGATAAGACGTTAAAACCTGAACTAAAAATAATCCTGTTGGCTGTTCCGGTTCAGGAAATTTCTGTAAGCCAAGTTCTGTTGTTTTGGTTTTTTTTTTTACTGACTTATTCCAAGTGTAAGCTCAGCAATTGCTGACTCTGCAATCATTTTGTGCGATCTTCATTTACTTTCTTTTATTTTTTGCAAACTATGACGAAACACCATCTGGAACACCCAGTCCAGCGTTTTCTCAGCATACGTGCAATAAGCCAGCAGATGATCATCTACAACAGAAACACGCCGTCATAATGCACAGACCCCCAAAGGGTGTCCTGTGTTCCCTCGCTGGAAGATTCCTTTTACAAGTGAAGAAGTTTTTGATGCTGGTGTTTAAAACCACCTGTAAAATACAAACACAATTAGGCAGGAAAAGTAGAAAAGTATCAACAGGAGAAGGCTTTGAGGTTGGATCCTGCATGTGTCTCCCCCCTGCACTTCCTCTAGCTACAGGTGTGTAGTCTCTAGTTCAGCAGCGTGGTTAAACCTACAGTCCAGTCACAGGTGACACACTGCACTGAGCTCCAATCTAAAATACCTAAATACAAGATAGCAGATGAAGAATCTGCTAACTTTGTTCCATTTAGTTTTGGAAATACTTCTCTCTCAAAATCAACTTTCCACTGCAATGACACTGATTAGATTCAGCCCCGTGAAGACACACAGCTAATCCAGCACCAGTGTGTTGTAATTACAATGACAATTTTATGCAGCAATAATTTTAAGAAAACCAGTTCTCATCTTCCCAAATCCTGGGCCATTCTGACAGGCATTAAAAACAGCACTTCTCATCTTTTAGTAGTTCTACATCTTTGTTATTCCCTCTGTGGTTTAAAGGAGAATTTAATTTTGTTTCTTGTAGGAACTTGACTTTCAGCTCTGGTAAGAAGCAAAAAGTGAAATGATCTTTTAAATTATATTAAAGAATATTTTCTTTTAAAATCATATGCCAGCATCTAAAGCGAATCTGTTCTTTAACAACTCAGGGAGCCAAATACCTCATGAGTAGTTCCAAGGATAATGCCAATCGTACACGTTGGAAGTGGAGCTTGGCAGCCAAGGACACAACGGATAGTTTCAAGTCCTTTGCAGCAAAAAACCCCCAACATTAACGTCTGTATAAAAGGCATCCATACATCCGGCACCCTGGGATTCCCGAGGGTGAAGGCAAACATATAGCTTGTTAGAATATCCTTGTGACACCGCTCCGCAGCCGCTGCACCGGTGGCAGCAATCCTGTGGATCTCCAAAGGCTCCACAGCCACACCTGCTGGCTGGCGGGCTCAGCACAACGCAGATGAAGCGAAGAGTAATTTTTAAGAGAAATCACTCCAAACCGATGCTTAGTGCTGTATCGCACCGTGATGCCCTTGGTATGAAAAATGTTAAACGTTTGTCCAAAGTATCCTGCAAAGTGCTGCGTGGAGGTTCTCATAAAAACCTCTTTGTGGCCAAGCTGAGCGTTCACCAAGTTACAAATTTAGAAATTGCATTTCCTGAGCTACCGTAACCCATTGGCCTTTCTCAATGCATTCAAAGGTGATTGTGTGTTATCTGCTGTTTTGACAGTGGAGTTTGCTTTACTCAGCCTCTGTCTGGGTAGCAGCAAACTAGGGTTTTTTTCACTGTTCGGCGTGTGATTTCTCCTCGCTCTGCAAAGGGCCAGATCCAGTGCTTTTCTGTGATAAAATTTATGCCTGTTGAGGAGCAGGCTCAGCACAGTGAACACTTGACCAGCGTCTCTGAATCCACCCTTGTTTGTGTAGGAGAACACATAATTAACGTTTGGTTAGAGATCTTATAGAACTTCAGGGAAATGCAGGCTTTGGGGGACCTTTTGGGACATAGACAGGCTCCTCTGAATAACTCTAGTTTGCTGCACACAGACATAAACTGAGGACAGTTTGCAGTCTACAGGAGCTACTAACTTATCAGTGTGCGCATAGTTATGAATTTATATCTATTCATGTCATTAGATAATTCATAAAGTCGTATCATTAGGTTATTAAGAATCTTTTCACCTAGTGCTATTCGCTGTCTGTTCTCAAATTATCTCATCATTTTTTTGTCATTGCACCTACTTCAGTAACATCTAGGATGTCTGGAGCTTATTCTGTTGCTGTGTAACCTAGTTCACGGTTTTTGGCTCATCTTTCTGAATTGGTACAGCGGGTGGGTGCAAGGTGAGTTATTATTTTAGCTCCCAGTTCTAGGGTAGGTAAGGGCCCCAGAGTTTTATCTAAATTATACTGGAGAAAATATCCCCTTTAGGAGCACTCTGCTGGCTGAGGACTGTCCCAAAATACTCCTCTGATTTGTTAGATAGGGGTTATGAATGGGCTGTCAGGAGCTGTGGCAACTATACATCCACTCAAGGCTTTTTCACCTCCCGTGCTGCCCCTTTCTCTCTGCTGCCAATGATCTGTCCCTGTATCTCAATTTCCAAACTGCATCTACCTGTGCTGCCCTACCCTTTATGCCTCTGTGGATGTGATTCACACGCATGAACAGGGCCTGAAGTTCTCACTGACATGCAGGTTTTGAGCGTGGCATAGGAAACAAGAGACAGGTACCATAAGATCATGAACTTAGGCCTTCTGGCCAGCCAGGAAAGTGTCACATCTCTGACTACAGATTCTTCCTCCAACACATAACGTCTTCCCTGAGCGTTATCAGAAGATATAAGGGTTTTCCAGCCCAGCTCAGGTGGATCCAGGCTCCCTGCCAGCAGTGTTTCCAGAGCTGTTTTTACCGTATCCACATTCATATGTTCCCCTTCTGCATACCTGAAGGATATCACCTTCCTGGAGCTTTTTAAAGGCCCAGGTGAGAAAGGCAGGATCCCTGTCCCAATAAACGGAGACATTCTTCCATAAGCACTTTCAAATAACTGATTTAAGAGTTTAATTATTGCCCAATTGGAGTGATGTGAAGCTTTTTCTGAGAATTTCTGTTTCTCTTCATTGACTCTTGGGATGAAAAACAGACGCTTCTAACCTAAACAAATAAATCCGGTGTCTGAAATAGATGGACTAATACCCTTGTAAATGCAAAGGGAGAGACCAGCTTCCTGCATCATGTCCTTATTCTGAAAGGACCTCCGTCCCTCCGTTTCCATTTCGCTTCCAGCTACAACAGCTGGATGATGGTGGCCACTTCCGAAGTGGGTCACTTTATAACGCCTCTTTATGCTGTCTCTGTGTGATTCCTCTTTAACACAGGAAACCTAAGAGAAACCCAAATAAACGCACTAAGACAAAATAAAATACATCTTCCTGGAAGCTCTCAAAATGTTTGTGAAAGAATTTTGAAGGGTTACAAAGACTTCTGAGGAATCCAAGTAGCCTAATGGATAAACTGCTTTCCCTTTCTTCCGCCATACACTTCAAAGCTCCATTGCATTTGAAGTATTAAAGTTAGTTGTCATAATTTAACACCTTCTGAAACAAAGTCAACCCATCATCAACAGAATCAATGACTCTGGAGATTTAAACACATTTCCTGCTCCAACTGTCAGATCTGGAAGGACGTAACAGAATCGGAGAGGGAAGGAGTAAACCCTCTCCTCCAGCACCGTAATTCAGCCGCAGGAGGAAAGCTTGGCCCTGGTCTTTGCCACGAATGAATGAGATCCTTCATTTCTCTGCAGCAACTGCATTTTCTATTGCCAGGGAAAGAATGAGTCAGAAAAGCCTGCTGCTGGTGAAAGCTTCTCTGGTCTTTAGTCAAACAGAGGGCTTCATCATTTTTTGTTTGAGTTTTCATGGTGTTAATAGGTTATTAGCAATGCCTGGTATCACCACTAGCATTCTGGATTTATAAAAGGGCTTTTTGCTTGTCATTTATTTTAAGACTTAACGAACAAGCTCTCTTTGTGGAAAAAGACGTTTTAGGTATGCTCTTAAAAATGAAATTGAGCAAGCTAGTAAAAAAGAAAATGCACCTCAATTAGATTATTCTTCCTCCATCTGCTCTCTCAGATCTTTGTATGACAGGAAATTGCCTATTGGATTTTTGATTTTGCTTAATGGAAATGGCAAAACCTAAATCCATTCCCATTCCCACTGACATCAGGGGAAACGAGATTTGATGTCTGAAGACTTTTTTTTTTTTTAAATCATTAGTGTCTGCAACTGCATCTCAGTGAATACAGTAATTGTAACACCAGTGAATTTAAATTAACTTAAATATGTATGAAAATGAGGACTGGCACTTACCCTCCTGTATCTCCTTGGAATTTCTGAAAATCTCAACTTCTCTAATTAGCAATCTCTGATGTGCCACATTCTTCCATGTGTGGACATTCACGATTAAACTGACTGAACTCCTCATACAAGTTAGGGCGACAGACTGTGACTGAATGAGGTTTCTATAGAAAATGCTATTTAGCAGATTAACTAGAAGAATATATTCACATATTGTATTCACATAGAATAAGAATTCACATATTCAGCTGTACTAACAGGAAAAAAATATACTGAATTTTGACATTCACTGTGATGTTTCAGTCACGTTAAAATAGTCTCCAAACTCAGTACAAGCAATGAAATCTTAACTTGTCTCCGTGAAGTGCTTTTAACTGGATGCATTTCTGGTGTCCTAAACCTCACTGCCCATTTCGATGCCAGAGTCGCTCTCCGGAAGAGGAGGAGGACTGCAGAGCCGTGGGATAACTCTCCTTGGGAGCAATGCTCAGGGAGAGACCCCGTGCAGGGAAGCTGCATGCCCTGAAACTGATGGGTTTCCAGATTTATGTTGCCAAATGTGGATTGCAGTCACTGTGTATTAGACAGCGGGTCCTTCATTGTCAGTAATCTTACAGATTATTCACAATTACAAGTAAAAATCGTTATGAAGTTTGAAACTCAGATCTCCTCTGAGGTACATGAGCCACGTTTGCCAGTAAGGCAGTGAGCTGGGGAAGCCTTTTCCTTGCATTTATAGGATGCTGGACTTTAGGAAATACCACCCCTGAAAAACCCAGGCTCCTTATAAAATTCTGTGAAGATGAGGTGTCCAACTGCTTGGACAAAAGTCCATTATGAAGAGATAATAAATCAGCTGGTTAAAACGGGTATAAAGATTGTATATCATATTCTTGTTCTAGTATCCACGTGGGGATGGCTAAAACACATTAAAAATCTCTCATCGAAAAGCCTGCGGTCTTAAAACCTGAAATGAATCCAACTGCGCAACACTGCTGTATTCCCCTCTGTGCCTCCCCTCTTGGAGAAGGAGATGTAAAAGCAGATCCTACCGCTGACTCATTCTGCTCTATAAACTATATTTGAGGTTTGAGAATAAAGGAGTTACCCTGGCTTGTTAAAAAGCTGTTTACCTCCATGTTTATAGTTCAACATTACCAGAATAACTACTGCAGTGAACTGTATTATTATTACTAAGAATAAAAGTAATCAGTATCTGACAGCATGAAAGAGAGCATACAGACAAGAAGCTCTCCACAGACTCCTCTCCACAATTCCAAACCTCCTCTACAGAATTTCATAATAGTAGCTGGACAATAACAGATTTTTATAAAACACAAAATAAAATCTTCAGTGGGAGTTAATTACAGATTTGGAAACCCCCCAACACTTCCATGTCACCATGTTGTTAACCACATGTGCCACATCTCTGAAGTTCCACATCTTTATTTCCTCCGTTTTGCAGCATCTTGTGCTGCTCCTTAGGGCTCGTCAGAGAACCCTTGTCACCAACCGTCACAGGGGCTCAGCACCAACACTGCAGGACACTTGTGATATGGATAATATGGAAAATCATCTGCAGGGCGAACAGGCACAGGTTACTTGGGAATAACATAGATTACTGTCTTCTAGAGATCTATAAAAAAATCGGTCTGTTTGATTTATACAGTAACTGCTGTATTTAAAAGTAAGCCTTGCACTGCTCTCCCTGCATCCGGAACCGGAACGTAACGGTATCTTTGACCTTGCATGTCACCACCTTAATGCAGCTTTTATATGATTGTTTTCCTTTTGTTAATGTTGCATTGTGTGCAGAAGTTCATGTGCAGGAGACTGCTTCTCCCATACCAGCTGAATTACAGATGCTGCCCACTGCCCCCCAAAAAAACCCACTCCATATAGTTTCCATATGTGGGGTCTTTTAAAACCAGTTCAGGAGCCCTGTGCCATCATGTAACCACATAATCTGTATAAACATCACCGGGGCAGCTAAGGTTTAAGTAAAACCCAAAATCGCAAAGTTTAGTAATTCCACTTGGTGTTAACAAAATATCCTCAGTTTTGAGAGCATGCTGTATAACAACAGAAAGGAAAAAAAATAAATAAAAAGGAAAAAAAAACACCAACCCCCCACCCCCAAAAAAACCTGTTTAATAAGAAGCAGGTTCTGTTTGCTTTAAAAGTTCTCAAGGCATGAAAGCATGGACTGAAAAAAAACCCTCCTGCAACTTCAGAACTGGCTCTGAGGCACACGGTGCCCTCATTTCCCAAAGTCATCAATGTCCTGACACCACTGCAATTAGCAGCTGCTCCACGTAGGTGATGAGGAAGGAGAGTGGGGTGTCTGCACAGCCCGGCCCCCAGCCCCAGCAGGGCAGCAGTTAAAAGAGATGAGGCAGCACAAAGGAGAAGGACACGGTGGGAGCAGGGAAGGATAAACAAGCTGCTGGGACAGCAGGGAAGACAGCTCGCCAGGTGGTAACACAGTGGATAAAGTGCTGAATATTTTTAGCTTTTCAGAATTTCAGAGATGGCTCCAACTACTCCGCAGTAGTACCACTACTATCCAAGTGCTCCTCCGATCCTCTGGTGTGACGGCTCTTCACTGCGTTGTTCAATTCTGCAGATCATTTCCAGCCAACTGGAAGTCTTGAACTATGAAACAAAACCTTTTTCTCAATAAAGAATTGACACCTTTGATATCTGTATGACGAAACAGTACAAGAAAGGAAAGGTGTGATCTGAAAGCAGTAACATTTTATTTATGATCAGTCTTTCAGGTGGGTTCTGACATTATTGTTGTGAAGGTACTCGATGGCTTGTACTGACTGGAAAAGGTATTTGTAAGTCTTTTGTGTCCAATCCATGGAAATAATGCTGGAGCTCGTCTGGAATTGTATGAGTGATAAATTCAAACACCAAGCGAACTCTTCTTTTTTCTGCCTAAATACCTGAATCAGGTTGACAATATCCTTATGATGGAATCACTGTTGGTAAAAGAAGAAAACCACTTTCTATCGTGGCTTTTTATTTCAGTTCATATAGAGTTCCTCTTTAAAAGGCCGATAACAAGAACTATAATTTGCTTAATTAAAGCTTGACTTTATTTTGAAAATACGCTAAAAGCCTTTGTTTCTGCTCCATCAGCCCTCCTCCGGTATTCAAACATCTTTACTGAGTTGTTTTCCACAAGGCATCTCCAGGCTCTGAACGAATACTGCTGAGCCAGGAACACAGCAAAGAAACGAGCAGCTCTTGTCATCAGCTTCAAAAATATCCTCTTGAATGCATTTACTAATGCATCACAGAGAAGAACTCGCACATTAAAAGAATCACATTCAAAACCTGTGCTATTTCACACTGAGGTCCACTTACCATTTAATTTATGTATCACTGTCTGTTGACACTTTGAAGCAGCTTTAGGTTAAAACCAAAGCTAGGTTTCACTCAAGACAAAGGTATCTGTCCTTTTAATTAACTTTTTTTTTTTTTTTTAATTGAAGGCTACACTCTCCGTGGTCCCACATCTCCTTATTGCCACCGAGACCCAGGACATCAGTCTGCATTTAGAGGTAAGGCCTCCGCATGCATCAGAAGTGGAGGGACCCGTGTGGCAAAACGTGCCGTTAACGCCTAATTAAAAATTGGTAGGAACTCAATTTTAAAAACATGCAGTCACTGCAAAGAGTGGAGGTGGGCTCAATACACAGCGTAAAAGTAAGAATCCAAATTTCTACCCTTGTAATCTGACTTACAGGTTATTGTTCCTGTACTTTGCAGAAGTTCAGTGAAATCAGAGCGAGCTGGTATCTCTGGCCAGGGGAAAATCCAGCACGACCTACATCCAGACTAAAATTCCTGCAGACCTTTCATGGACGTAGGTCTAAACTCAAACATTACCAGTGATCTTTTAGGGGAGATCCCACTGCACCACAATGCTGAAATACTTTGTGTGAAAATACGTGTAGACAATCCCTCTTCTGTTTAGGGATGGCCCAGAACTGGTGTGATAAATACACTGCCCCTTTTGCGGCCAGTGTGCGCTGGGGATCCTGGGATGAGAGCCAAAGCAAAGTGATGTCACCCCCAGCTGACAAAAAAAAAAAAGGCCACCTGGGGAGGCCGGGGCAGGACAGAGGGCGAGCTGCAAGGCTGCCCTTTGGTGGGGAAGCCTTTCGGCCAGTTCTGCTTCCCCTCTCCCCTGCTGAGGAGAGGAGAGAGCTCTGCTGCAGGCATGCCCGCAGCGCCAACACCCGGGCAGGATAAGGAGGAACTCAGCAGAACATGTTCTTCCACTGCTTAGTTTAAACAAGGGCTGCTTTTGCCAACATCACTTCCAAAATTTAGATTTTGAAATTAAATCCAAAATTAAATCTCCAAATTTTAAATTTACTTTAGATGCTCATTTTAATTTGGCAGCAAAGTGCCGTAGAAACCGTTCGTTTTCGTGCTGTTTTGTGCACAAAGCAGCCTACGAGGCACCATATACCCTGGCAATGATACAGGTCTAATTTTCGAGCCATTTCCCCCCTCGTTTTACACATTTAAAGCTGCTAACCTGTAGAAACTTCATGTCTCTCATTGTGGTTTTAACAGATTTTTCTGATTTCTTGTGCAATATTTTAATGGCCACTGTCTGGCCGTGTCCTTGTGCTTGCACTTCACTGTTGTTCCTTACTTCCCCTCCCGCTTTGGCAAGGATCTTGAACACCCTCATCTGATTTTATTTCCTCATGGAAGGGCAAAAGTTTTAATTAATTTCAGGCAAACAGAGTTCTTTAAACATCTAGAGCGTGTTTCAAGAGGAGTAACACCTGCAAACAGCAGCCCTCATGCTATCCCAAACATTTCTCCAGGCCCTTGAGGCTCCCAGCTTCTCAGTCCTGCTGGTTTTAGACACACACTGGGACAGACAGGAGCTTTACACTCATACACATCCACAGAGGCATCTCCAAACCCGCTTCTGAATACGTGCCGCTTAAAATGCTGAATGAAAATGTTAAATAAAATAAACCACAGCCCTATCTTCTAGAAAAAAAAAAAGAAA